CACTGTGGGGGCAGCAGCGTGGTGTCCCCCAGCATCCCTTCTGGGTGCCGTCTCTCCAGGCAGGCAGCTCTGTCTGGGCTGTGGACCCGCTGGCCGTGGTCAAAGGTCGTCGTCTGCCCTGGAGCAGCTCCGGCCACCTGCCTCTCTGGGGGTGGTATGGGGACAGTTCCTTGTGATGTTTACCGTGATGTTTGTCATGCAGGGAAGGGTGCTTTCCCAGGTGCTCACTCCCCCACATGCACGGGGGAGACAGGCGTTGGTGGGTCAGGAACAACCTATAGGGAGTGGGCTAGCACAGGGAGGGGGCGGGGTGGCCATGGATCCCCCCGTCACCGGCCACACAGCTTGCCGTGTGACCTGTGGGTCATGTTAGACTTGTAGAAATGTCTTCCCTCCTCACACTGCCTTGCTTTGTTTTGTGTTTCCCTCAATGTATGTGAGTGTAAACTCCAAAGCCCCGGCAGTGGCCACCACAGGGACGTGGGTGGGTGGCAGGGCCTTTGCAGAGGCCTGCTGAGCGCCCTGGGCCGGGGCCTCACTGGCTGAGCCAGGGCTGCTGCGGGGTCCTTTGTTCACCACATGCTCAACAAACACAAGCCTTGTGCTGGGCCCAGGGGTCCAGGGCCCCGCCCTCAGCTGCTGGGCTGGGGGTGGAGCAACAATCAGGGTGGTAGGTGGTCGCTGAGCAGTGGCCAGGGTGACCAGGGCCTCTCCACCCTCACCTCCCTTCGCCAGGTACTAGAAGACAGCGGAATGCCCATGGACGACACCCAGTTCTCTCAGCTGACTACAAAGATCGGCTTTAAGAAGGAGGGGATGAGCTACCTTGACTTTGCGGCAGGATTTGAAGGTACTGAGGCCAAGCCTGGGCACCCAGCCTGCTGGGGCTTCCACGGAGATGCTGAGCCGCCTGCGTCCTGGACTGGACTCAGGCACTTTGCTTAATCTTAGGGTTTCAGCCCTTCCTTTTACTAAGTTAAACGGAGTGTGAGGGTGGAACTGGGCCTGCGTCTTCTGCAAACCCAGGACCCTAATGGTTCTAAAATGGACTCCCAAGCCTGTGTCTTCCCTGAGACCCCAGTCAGACCTCATGTCCCTTAGGATTTTTCTGCCTGAAATTATGCTGGTGACCTGTATTTAATAATGCTATCAGCAGGCAGGG